ACTGGAATAGATGCTGAGGTTGGAGAACTTGATGAGATCATTGAAGATCTTATTAGAAAAGATGCTGCTATTGACAGTGTTAAAGAAGGAAAGAAGAAAGCTGAAGCTGATAAAAAGGCAGCAGAAGAAATACGGATTAAGGCTATGGAATGGTTTGGAAACACCAGCAAAAGAGGTAGAGAGGATGGAGAGGAAGGAGCCAAAAAGAAAAAAAGGAGAAGTGGCAGTGATGCAGTAGAATTTCTCAGAGAAAAAGCAAAGTTAGAACATTCTCTGAGAGAGGAAGAGCTACAGTTAAGGAAAGATCAACAAAGTCAAACTCTGTTGATATTACAGCAACAACAGCAGATGAATCAAGCATTGCTCACCCTCATGGAAAAATTTTTGCCTAAAGAGAGGGATTAACTGTTAATTACTGTAACTTAATTTGTTGTTGTTAGCCAATGGTATCTTTTTGAATGGCACTTTGCAGAGAGAGATTTGAATTTATGTTCATTAACTTTCATAGGACAATGGCATTTATGAAAGAAATGCTTACATTTTCATGTTATAATCATTTGAATTCGCATATTATTATAAATGCCTCTTGGAAACTTTGGTGGCTTCTCAGTCATGCAGAAGCTGGTACGAAAAAAGACAAATTAGGCTTAAACATTTTGTTGTTAATTTATTGGTTAAAATTGTTGGACTGTACATGTTGAATATATGTTTATAACAAGTGTCTGAAATTTTGTGCCTCACAAACTCTGCTACACCCAACAACCTTCGACCATGATAGGTTTATATGCATTTTTTTTTAATCAGCTGATTGGGAGGGGCTGCTCCTCAAATTTCATAAGGTAACGTCCAAGTTATTACATATCATAACTGTTTCAAATTATAAATTTTCATAAGAAGATAGAGTTCTCTTTTCTTCAACACATCAGCTATGTAAAATAGTCTTGCAGGGTGGGAGGCTCAAGGTCAAAAAATGTTGCAGTATTGTCGCCATACAAGCAACTCAAAGCATTTTGCAGAAGTGCACAAACAATGTACATCTTTCTAATGCTGCTCATTCTTATCTTGAGATTCTTTTTGAAATCTATGAACTTGAAATATTCTATGATATCTCCAAATAACCACTCTACAGACACCCTTACTGAACTCATTGAACTGTTGTATGCTTCCATCAAGGGAGTAAGGTGGGGGTTCCGGAATGGCCCCTGAAGATGGACTCTTAGGGGGTAAGCAGGGTCGCCATACAAACACATTGGTAGCCCTGTTGCTGAGTAGGCATAGGGTTCCAGGTTGTAAAGTAGCCCAGAATCGTGCAACATCCCTGCATCATGCCTCCTACCCTCTAAAGTAAAGAAAAAAAACAAAGTAATAAACTTAAGGTACTTACTGTATTGATCAATCTATAGCTTCCTAATTTTAATATACAGCAACGGAAGTGATAGTAGTGATCTTTTGTTCTTACACTTGCTCCAAACTTGTAAGATCAAGCAGTACTTTTTATACACTGCCGTATATAGGCAAATGACTTTTCATTGAATTTTACTTCGCCTCCTTCCTTAAGAGCTAACGCAGGGGCTCTAGCACAGTCGCTACATCAGGGAGGAAACGGTGATAGTAGTTAAACATACCCAAGCATGAGAGGACGGATATGGCTTTTACTGCAAGTATCATCTCCTGCAGCGTTATTTCCCCGGGTCTGTCGGGAATGTGTGAAAGCATGTCAAACTGTAGGAGATCAAATTATCATCGCTAGTTATTGGGGTCCTGGTTAGTGTTGTAATGCGACTCCATAACCTTTCAAACTATAGAGATCAATGTGTCATCACTCGTGAATGGAGTCCTGGTTAATGTTATGAATGTCGTAATATGATTCTTTAATCTTAATAAAAGACTCCATTCTTTTGCCTGTTGTCCTGTTGTCTTAACCGGCTTTCAACCACGAGTTGTTTGTTAGTCGTAGGATGGCATGTTCTTTTTATGACATATCTGTGGGTATGCAGTTATCCCGTATGGTGAATAACTAAAAGCGCTTTCCAGTAGCCTGTTGGTAAACGGCTTGGCGTCACACACGTCACGGTAGAGGAGCTTACCCCCCAATGAGATGGGAGAGGCCAGTCCCAGTGGGTCATAGATCCTTGCCAGTTTGCTTAAAACTCCCCGCTTGCTAGGATCAGCCTTCTCTTGTGGAAAACTCACGCCGACAGTATCGTTTTCTTTGTCCCATGGTAAACCAAGCAGGGTAGCTCCTTGTCTTCCGGATACGTTTAACTGCTCTTTTGCGTACGTTCCTTCCTCGATCGAAACTGGTTCTGACGCGGCTGATTCCGACTCTTTCACATTCGAATGCCATTTATGCAACTCGAAGGTGCCCTTGGTGAATACGTTCTGAGAAGCTGATTTGATCTCTTTTGCCTTTTGACTTGTAGGGCCACCACTGATCAGGTCGTTTACGTATAAGCTTCGTTCAATTTCGCTGACAATGTCCGGGTAGTTTTGTCTGCAACTCTCCAGCAGGTGTTGAATTACGCCTCCCAGGAGGAACGGCGATGATGTAAGACCGAAGAGGGCTCTAGTAAACCTCAGCGTCTCCACTGTTTGACTGCTTGGGTCCTTCAACCAATGAAATCTTAGCGCATCACGGTCTTGCTCTTTGATTCGCGCTTGGAGGAAAGCTTGCTTGATGTCTCCTGTCACTGCAACTGGATGAAATCGTGAACGAACAAGGACACTCCAGAGCTTGTTTTGAAGAGGTGGACCAGGATTTAAACACTCATTTAGCGATGGTGCACCAGAGTAGGCCCGTGCTGACGCATCATACACTACACAAAGCTTGGTGGTTTCTGCTGTGTCACGTACCACTGCCTTGTGAGGGATGTAAAATTCGTGCTGCCCAGTTGCAGGTCCGCCAACTCTCTCGACTATTCCGGTCTTGATTTGGTCTTGGATCACTTGATCGTAACGCTCTATTGTTCCTTGGCTGTGCAGCTTCTTTACGAGGCCGGTTAACCTGTGAAGACTGCCTGCTTCGTTGCTTGGTAGAGGTGGGTGGTTCCCTTTCCATGGAAGGCTAGTTTCGTACCAACCCTCTTCATCTCGTCTAAGTTGCTCCTTGAACTCGGAATACACCTCCTCTTGATCACCAGTTGCACAATCTGCGAGTCCAAGTACGTCCAATCTGCACAAGTTGTTGTAATCCACTGTTGATGTTTGAGTCAGGAACATTGGAGACAGATCCACTTCCTTGCCTGGTGAAATAATGGTCCATCCAAACTTGGTTTTTTCCGCGATAGGCTCGTTCGTGGCTCCAATAAGAGGTGCTGTCTCAGTCTTGATCTTGTTATAGTCACACACTCCCAGGATAAGGTGCACTGGAAGGAATTCCTTTGTGTCCATGTCGTCCATCTTGACTCCCTTTAAGTGGTCGTACCTTTCCAGGACCTGTTGGTAGCGAGGGTTTTCCAGGGATAAAAGCTGTCTTTTGTTTACCAAGGTCACGTCCGTTTCGA